GTGGGTCCCAGCGCAAAGTAAGTTGTCAAGCTAGGTGGATAGCGCCTTACCACTGAGCCACCTCATTTGCCCTATTTTTTTTTTTAAAACAAACTACATTTTCCCCCTCTGGTATTGCCACGTTACATCCTGGTAAAGTAATCAGAAGTTGGAAATGACTCTGGTTAAAAATGCATTTAATAGGGCCAGTGAAATGACAACAAGGAAGAGCACTAGCCGCTCAAAGCTGACAACCTGAGTTCAGTCCTAGGATCTCACATGGCAGAAAAGAAGGAACTCCACAGAGCTGTCAGCTGACCTCAACATTTGGACTGTGACACATACCTGCCCCCATAATATACAGAGACTAACACAATATGTTTTAGTTTAAAAAATGCATGTATGCCAAACAATGGTGACACATGTCTATAATGCCAGCACTTGGAGGCAGAAGCAAGTGGATCTCTTGAGTTTGAGGCCAGCCTGCTTTACAAAGCAAGTTCCAGGACAGCCAGGGCTACACAGAGAAACCCTGTCTCAAAAAAACCAAGAGAGAGAGAGAGAGAGAGAGAGAGAGAGAGAGAGAGAGAGAAAAGAAAAAGGCTGGAGAGATGGCTTAACAGTTAAAGAGTGTGCATTGTTCTTGCAGCGGGCTAAAGTCACCTATAACTCCAGCTCTGGAGCAGAGGGAGCAGCGGGTCTCAATCTGTGGGTCTTGACCCCTTTAGGGTCATATATCAGACATCCTGCAAATCAGATATTTAGATTACAATTCATAACAATAGCAAAATTATAGTTACAAAGTAGCAATGAAATAATTTTATGGTTGGGGGTCACCATAACATAAAGAATTATATAAAGGGTTGCAGCATTAGGAAGATCGAGAAACATTGTGCTATGGGATCCAAAATCCTCTTCTGAAGTCTGAGGGCCCCTGCACTCATGGGCACATTACTACCCCATATAGACACATAATTCAAGATAATACAAATAAATCCTGTAAGATGTATTGAATGTATTTAACCTTCTCCCATCCTAGCTCAGCAAAAATGCTCACAGGCAGGATCAGCCGCTGTGCAGCTGACAGCCAGCACCTACTCTGTGTGCTGCTTGGCCTGGAGAAGGTCAACATTCAAAATCTGAATTTCTTCACCTAAAATTTCTGTTGACAGTGTTTCTTTCACACCATCATGAACACGGTGTGCTACCGTCTGGGTAAACACTGTAAAGGACCGAATCACAACCCTAGAGAGTGTCATGTGACAGGTGAGGCAGCCTGTGCAGGAGAAACTAATGCTGTTGGCCTTTTCATACCGTCTATAACATATGTCTGCATTATCAACTCAAAAATAAAAGATAATTTAAAACTTTGTTTTCATTTTTATTCCCTGAAGATTCCAATATTTTCGGTTCCAAACCAATTTCCTGCCAAAGAGAATGAGTCAGGCAAGGGGCACCTGTTGACCTTCAGAAAGTTCAGGACCCTTTCTGCTGGACAGGAGGAGGCTGGGGTGTGCTTCCTTCTCTGGGGTCACAGGTCCCATCTTCCCTTGTTCCTCCTTGTCCTGTCTTCTCCCTCAGTCTCTTCCCTCCCTACCTGAGGCTACTGTGCCAGCTCCACACTGCTGTCCTCTATTTCTCTTGCCCTCCCCTTGATACTGGAAAACCTGGACCTGCCCAGCAGCCAGGCCTCTCCCACAGCTGTGTGGCCCTGCTTGAGTAGATCGCCTGGCCTCACTTTAACAAGCTGTTGCCTTAGTCCCATGAGATCACAAGGATGGAAACATCCATAATGGCCACAGACCCCAAACCAACAGTTTTCCCTGGTGTGTGTGTGCACACTCATGTACATGTGTGCTCATGTATATAGAAGAGAGAGGTCAACCTCAGGTATAGTTTCCCAAGCTACTGTCTACCTTTGTTTTTGAGACAGGGTCTCTCACTTGCCTTGAACTCACTGATATGGCTAGGATGGTCTCACCTGCCTCTACCTCCTGAGTGCTGGGTTTATGAAGTATACCACCATGCCGGCTTTTTATGTAGGTGCTGGAACTAAACTCAAATTGCTCTATTACCCTCACCCAAGTCTCTCTCTGTCTCTCTCTCTCTCTCTGTCTCTCTCTCTGGTTTTTCAAGACACGGTTTCTCTGTAGCTTTGGAGTCTGTCCTGGAACTTGCTCTGGTAGACCAGGCTGGCCTCAAACTCACAGAGATCCGCCTGCCTCTCCCTCCCAAGTGCTGGGATTAAAGGCGTGTGCCACCACCACCCATCACCCAAGTCTCTTTTTAAAGACACTGTTACCTTGGGCTATACATTGGCAGACTCCCTCTATTGCTCTTGCTTTAAAGCTAGCACAGCACTGATGCTCCACAGCCTGTAGTGGAACTAGATGGTGCAGCCTGGTGAACTCACTGTAAACTGAAAACGGCTTGTGAAGATCATTTAACTCAACCTGCTGAATGCCCCAACTCAGCACCACAGTGAATGCTGAATCTCAGATGTTTCCCTTGGTGACTGGGGTCAGGCTAGGAGCCCTTCTGTGGGCCCTGAGCTCCTCCTGTGAGGTGCAAGGCTTGAATTGCACCTTAGAATCTCGGATTCCATATTTTAACAACAGCAGTTCCCTGGCGGTGAGAGGGGAAGAGGCCTGGGAGGCCTTTGGGAGAGAAGCGGGAAGCTGCTGAGGGGTTCTCAATCACAGGCTACTGTGTTGTCCAGAGGATGGGAGCCAGTCATCACATTTCTAGAGAGTTTTAGTCTGGGTCCCACCAGGTCTGTTCTGTAGTAGGGACTGCACTCAGGACCCTGCGAATGCTAAGCATGTACTCTATGACTGAGATTTCTCCCAACCACCCTGGATCTCTCTCTTACTTTAAAAAAACAAAACAAAACAAAACAAAAACTTTTTTTTGAGATTTACTTCATTATTTTATGTGAGCAAGTGTTTTACTTGTGGTACGTGTGTGCATCACGTGTGTGCCAGAAGAAAACATCAGATCTCCTGGGTTAGGTCCTCTGCAAAAGCAGTACATCTCTTACCCACTCTGCCATCTCTTTGACCAACCCTGAGTCTTTTTTATAAGCTGCCTTATACAGCTGCCATGGGTTTGGACAGACAGAGGACAATAGAATATGTTTCTTACCTGGGTGGTGGTGGCACACATGCCTTTAATCCCAGCACTAGGGAGGCAGAGGCAGGCAGATCTCTGTGAGTTTGAGGCCAGCCTGGGCTACAAGAGCTAGTTCCAGAACAGGCTCCAAAGCTACACAGAGAAACCCTGTCTCGAAAAAAAAAAAAAAAGAAGAAAGAAAACGAAATCTTTCTTTTGCTGGAAGCCCTTGAATCTTGGCAATGCAACCCACCTGACATCCTGACTGTGATCATAAGACAGAACTTCACACTAGCCTTCTAGAAGCAGCAGAAACTCCGCCAAGGGCCCCCATATTCATCTCAGGCTCCTGGACTTAGTACTAAGGGTTGTTTGCCTTCCCATCATACCTTTCCCCTGGCCACAGTGATGGCACTTCACTGTTGCGATTGTTTTCTAACTCCCCTGGCCACAGTGATGGCACTTCACTGTTGCGATTGTTTTCTAACTCCCTGCCTCTGCCGGGCTGCCTTCTCAGCCAGGCATGACTTTGTGATACCCCTTGCACACTGTTCCCAGGATGTTTCTGACCAAATGACGTACCCCCTACCTCTCTCTCCTGCATTCTCTCCTCAAGACCCACAGTCTGTTTGCACATCTCTCTATAACCACACAGGCCTCATTCCTGTTTGTGTGACCTTATAGGCCCAGCACACAGAAGACACTAAGTAAGACGTTAGTAAATGGATGACTGAACAAACGAGCAGACAGGCACATGAAGAAAACAAGGTAGGGTCTGAAGGTGAAACTCAGTTGACAGAGTGCTTGCCTGTGCTTGAAGCCCTGAGCGCAATCCCCAGCGCCACATAAACCGGGCTACTGAGTGTGGGGGCTCACATTTTCAGTGCTGAGGAGTGGAGGCAGGAGGATCAAAAGTTCAAGGTCAATCTCAGATGTTAAACAGTTCAAGAAGCCAGGCAGTGGTGGTGCACACATTTAATCCCAGCACTCGGGAGGCAGAGGCAGGCGGATCTCTGTGAGTTCGAGGCCAGCCTGGTCTACAAGAGCTAGTTCCAGGACAGGCTCCAAAGCTACAGAGAAACTCTGTCTCGAAAAACAAAAACAAAAAAAGTTCACCCTCAACAGAGTAGATTCACTCTGTGTGTGTGTGTGTGTGTGTGTGTGTGTGTGTGTATGTGCATATGTGCGCGTGTGTGTGCGAGTGTGTACGTGTGTATGTGTGCATGTCTGTGTATGTGTTCATGTGTATACATGCGTGTGTGTGTGTGTGTGTGTGTGTGTGTGTGTGTGTGGTTTATTCATTGCTCTACCCTCTAGACTGGATCTCTGAAGGACAGGAAACATTTTTACTTGCATAGAGCTTAGAGTTAACTAACCTTTGGAAGATGCATGCATGGATGGATAGATATGCAGATAGGCAGACTGATGGGGAGACAGATCAGTGACTAGTGGATGGGTACTAGTGAATGGGTGGGGGTGATGAGTGGATGGATAGGTAGGTAAATGACTGATGGATAAGTAGGTGGGTGGATGGATGGATGGACAGGGAGATGGATAGACAGGCAGACAATGAATGGATATGTAGGCTAAGTGAATAGACGGATGGATTAACACATCAATAGATGACCAGACTGACATTATATAGAGGAAAAACAGATAAAAATATGAACTGTTATCAGATGGATGGGATGACATGTGGACAGACAGGTGGCTGAGCAAACATGTCTCCAAACACAAGGGTAAGTGGGTGAGCTGATTGACAGGCTGAAAAATAAGTGAGCAGTTGGACTAACAGATAGGTGAGTAACTCTGACTGGTGTGGTGGGTTGGAGAGATGAACAGACAATCAGAGAGATAAGGGTAGGGAAAAGATGGAAGGCTGAGCATACAAGACACTAGGAAGAGTTTGGGAAACTGAGAGATCTGGGCTGGGAACACCATTTCTAGGGATCTGGAAGCAGCTGTGGTACTTAGCTGGGAAGAGGGCAATACAAAAAGCCAAGCATGGCCTTTCCCAGGAGGAAGGGAAGACGCCTGAGGAGCCAGGAAAAGGGATACAATGTGGGTCCTGACTGGTTTAGGTAGGCCTAGCAGGGATTGAAGGGCCTACAGGAAGACCCACACCTGGCAGCCTTGGGATCAAAGTCTTCCACCTGCCAGATTCACTCTACAAATTAGGGACCCGTCGCTGTCACTATTCTGACCTCAAAGAGGTGATCCGCCACAATAGGAGTCTGAGAATTCAGTAGTATGGGTTTGGAAGAATGGTGGACACCCTTAGAAGGCCTAGCGACCAGGCAGCAGAGGCCTTTCTTTCTCCCTCTCAGCCCCAGTTTCCTCAGGCAGGGGGCCTGGCCCCATAGCCTCCCAGGGCAGCCCTTTGAGCACCACCTGCCCCAGCCGGCCAGAGACTTCCTGTAGCGCAAGAGATTTATGCAAACGGGCTGGGGCGGTGATGTCACCCCAAGGGGACTATCTCCCAGTGGCAGGCCCTTCGATAAAATCAGGAACTTGTGCTGGCCCTGCAATGTCAAGGGAGGGGGCTCACCCAGGGCTCCTGTAGCTCAGGGGGCAGGCCTGAGCCCTGCGTCTGACCCACGCGCGTCCAGCCCCCCTGACGGGGCACCCGGTCCTGAGGGGATCCACACTGATCCCCACCGAGGCAGGGGATCTGACCAACTTGGAGCTCAGCTGGATGTTACAGGCGTGCAAAATGGAAGGGTTTCCCCTCGTCCCCCCTGTGAGTACTGGGGCTTCACTACCTGCCCTGCCTTGGGCCCTGGGATGTGTGACCATCTGCCCACTAACCCACCAGCCCACCCGCTGCCCTCCGGCTCCCTATCTGTGGGAAGTCGATGTTTCCTCCCCGGAGCTGCTGGCCTGAGACTCAGAGAGGGGCCATTGGCTTCCTTAGAGCATGCCCTGGCGGGCTGAGGGTTGCCGGCTGGCCCCATGGTGGGGCTGTGATCGGTGGGGCCTGAATAGCTATTTATAGGTGGGGCTCAATAGTAGGCCAAGCTCTAGGACAGCGTACTGGGCTGAAGGCGGTGAGGGCTGCTACTGAGAGGCCATGGATGAAGAGATCTGGACTGGCCTAGCGGCCACCGGACCTTCAACCCATGACCTGTGGGCTCCTGAGACAAAAGCTGGTAGAACTCTGGGTCACCCATGGGTCCCCAACATTCAGTTTGTGGACTGGCATAGTGGAATGGCTGTTGATTCAAGTGTTTGGGCTTTGGGCCTACTTGAACCTGAGCATCTAGGGCAGTGGCCAAGGCTGGTTTGAGGTCTTGGGGTCAGGCTGGGCAAGAGTAGAGCATACAGCTGAGACATGGCAGTTAGATTTGTGGCGGGCTGAGCTCAGTAAGAAATCGGGTAAAGGATGGGTCTGGTGACCAGAATGGGACCAGATTGGCTCTGGAACAGGAGGACCTGGATTGAGCATTTGAGTGGAGTTCGGGTGGAACAAGGACAGGGACCCAAGCAAGTGGGCAGATCTCACTGTTGCTCCTGGTTTCGGCGACAGTGGCAGCTTTAGGCAGATGGCAGTCCAGGGTCCCTTGGAGAGGACCCTCTGGCTTTCTCCTACCCTTGGAGGTGTTGGGACGGTGAGAAAGAGCTGAACAGAGAAAGGCTTTCCCACCTGACTCAGCTTTCCCCTAACAGATCTCTCTTCTACCCCACCCTGCCTTAGAGCCCTAGGCCTGACATCATAGCCAATGTCCTGCACCGGGGGGCAGGCCCAGTGTACTGCCTGGAAACCCAGGGAAAGGGGCAACTTCTGGCCCTCCACAGGGCTGGTTGGACCTCAGTCCTCACCCTCATCTTGAACTCCTTCTCCCACCTGGGATGGAGAAGGTGCTGGGGCAAGCGCAGGTGTAGGAGGCCGTCCCAGAGAGGGTCCACTCTGCCTCAAGTAAAGCCATTGTCCCTGACCTTTGACCTCTCCCTCCTGAACAGCAGGCAGATGTGGGCAGGGGGAAGTCCAATTCCTGAGCCCCTCTCTCGAGTCCCAGAGGACATTCCAAATTGTCTCTAGAGTGGTGAGCTCCCAAGTAGGACTGGCCCACCAAGCAAGCCCTGAGGGCCACAGTAACTATTGTGCAATCCTTGGGCACACTCTGCGGGGGTGGGGAGAAGCCCGAGGACTGTTGGGATGGCTCTGGTATATATGTCCTGTGCCCAAGCAAGTGAGAGAGGGTGGGGAAAGGAGATGGAGGAGGCAGAGGGAGAAGAGAGGGAAGAGAAGATAGAGGAGGGAGGGAAGAAAGACAGAGGAAGGGAAGGACAGGAAGGAGGGAAGAGAGGGGGAGAAAGCAGCAGGGGCAGGGAGTCGTCCATCAGAATTACTGAGGGGGAAGGAATAGTCAAGGCCTCTGTCCCTTGGCTCCCCAGACCTGCCTGGGTGACCTTTGTACAAATAAATCATCATGACAGTCATGACAGTCATCCTGACCATCCTGTGCCTGCCTAGGGCTGGACTGACGGAGGCTAACAGGGAGGGAGGAGTGGGCTGGGCAGACTGCAGCAGAGGGACACAGCGTCGTGTGGGAGAGTGTGCAGGTGGAGACAGTCTGTGTGAGCGAACTGACGGCTGGAATGTGATGTGAGCGTGTGTGTGTCGGTCTGTATGGATGCCTGCAGGGCTAAGTGCACAGTGGTGTGTGACTGGTCCTAAGAGCAGATGTAAAGACTTGTGTGAGATGTCAGGACGTCTCTGTGTGGGAAGGAGACAGGAAGCCAAGAGTGAGTGTGTAGACATGTGGGAGTGAGTCCCCAGAGGAGTCTGGGTGTGTGTCACAAAATGTTTGTACATTTGGGGGAAGGTGCATCCACGTGAATGGGAAAGAGGAGGATGTCCTCACAGGATGGGTACAGTGTAAGGGGGCTATGGAGATTGAGCAGAAGAGAGGAAGGGGCTGCACCCTCTTCTCAACCCTGGTCCTCCTGACCTCTGACTTCTCTGCCCCATTGCTGCCCTACCACCACCCTTTCCTGAACCTCCCATCATTGCCTCACCCCTGCATCCCCGGGCACTCTGGATTCTAAGTAAAGGCTGGGCTGCTCCAGGTGCCTCCGGGAAGGTTGCCGACCTCACACTTCGCTGAAAATCTTGCTGGAGTCTCCTCAACAGTTCAGGCTCTGATACCTTCCTCTCTCAGCAGCCATCGGACGAACTGGTTACTTATGATTCTGAACTCTACTCACGCCAAACACAAGACTACTATGCCTTTATGGGCAGCGATGGAGACAGCCATAGTGGTGAGTACACTGTCCGCCTGACCTTCTCACAGCCTGGACTGGGCCCGGGGCTGGAGACAGATACAGACCCCTAAGGCTCCTTGAGAATAAGATAAAGGTGCTACCTCATCCCTGTCTCCCACAACTTTTGCCCCAACCCTTATCTTTGAGCATCTTTCCTGTGTCAAGGGCAAATTTAGTTTCTCATTTACCTTGTCTGATCCTTAGGGCTTCTTAAAAAATAGATTATTTTCATACAATATATTCTAATTATGGTTTCCCCTTCTTTAACCCTCCCCACCTTCCCATCATCCAAATCTGTACCTTCTCTTTCTCTCTCTCATTAGAAAACAAATAGGCATTCAAAAAATAAAATAAAGCCTGCCAGTGGTGGCACTCGGGAGGCAGAGGCAGGCGGATCTCTGTAAGTTTGAGACCAGCCTGGTCTACAAGAGCTAGTTCCAGGACAGGCTCCAAAGCTACAGAGAAATCCTGTCTCGAAAACCCAAAACCCAAAACCAAAACCAAAACCAGAAAAAGAAAAACCAAACCAAACCCAAAACAAACAAACAAACAAAAAAACAGAGACAAACACAGATGTCCCATAAAAAGACAAAACTATAAGGTTAAAAAGAAAGTGTTCAGACAAAGCGCGGCGAGACAAACCCTGCGAAGACACCACTGAGTTTGCTTTGGGTTGGCATCTGCTGCTGGGCATGGGACCTGCCCTAGTGAGGCTCCACTGGAGAAAGCTAAGTTGTTAACTGGACATAGCTTCTGGGTTAGGGGTGGGGTCTTAGGTCCACGTCCTCTAAAGCACTGGGACCCCATCTACATGGGGACTTTTTAATTAGTGAGCTATGTAGGGAGCTTGGGTAAGCTGACTAGGCCAGTGGATGCTGGTCAGGCAGTCGGCCCGACCCCACGCCTGCTTCTTTTTCCTGACCACTCATTCCACCGCTTCCTCTCCTCTCTGTCACACGCTCACATCACATTCCAGCCGTCAGTTCGCTCACACAGACCGTCTCCACCTGCACACTCTCCCACACGACGCTGTGTCCCTCTGCTGCAGTCTGCCCAGCCCACTCCTCCCTCCCTGTTAGCCTCCGTCAGTCCAGCCCTAGGCAGGCACAGGATGGTCAGGATGACTGTCATGACTGTCATGATGATTTATTTGTACAAAGGTCACCCAGGTAGGTCTGGGGAGCCAAGGGACAGAGGGCCTTTTTTTTTTTTTAAAAGATTTATTTATTATGTGTCTTTTTTTTTTTTTTAAGACAGGGTTTATCTGTAGCTTTAGAGCCTGTCCTGGAACTAGCTCTTGTAGCCCAGGCTGGCCTTGAACTCACAGAGATCTTCTGCCTCCTGAGTGCTGGGATCAAAGGTGTACACCACCACCGCCCTATTTATTTATCATATATACAATGTTCTGCCTGCATGTGTCCATGCAGGCCAGAAGTTGGCACCAGATCTTATTTCAGGTGGTTGTGAGCCACCATGTGGTTGCTGGGAATTGAACTTAGGACCTCTGGAAGAGCAGTCAGTGCTCTAAACTGCTGAGCCATCTCTCCAGCCCCAAAACTCCCTTCAGTGAGCCTCCCAGCCTTACTGTGTAGCCAGTGGCCCTTCTCAGTTGCCACTACTGAGATTTGGGGCTTGGTAATTCTGTTCGTAAGAGGCTTAGCAACATTTTTATCTCTTCTGCTAGATGCCAGATCATGAGAACCATCTCTTCAGACCCCCACTGTGCCAAGGGAAAGTCTCTAACCATCCCTTGTAGAGCAGACACCAAGGCCCCAGAGTCTGTTGGAGGTGGGGAGGAGGCCTGGCCCCAACTGTCCACCCCAAACCCAGCCTTGCTCTGCAGCAAGTTATGGGGAAAGGGGTCTGACTCTTAGGGACTGGACCCTGGGCAAGGAGACTCCAGGTTACCAGAGATGAATCTGGGTTCTAAGAAGTATAGTCATGTTGTTCCAGACTGGACTGGGGTTTCTCCAGAAGGCCTTCCCCTGGGGACTCAGCTGGAGGAGGTCTCACGTCTGACAGCCACACCCAAGGCTGTCACACAGGGCGTTTCCATTTGGACGCCAAACCGTGAGAACACCTTCTTCTGGCGTCCGGTGGCACGAAATCTTCCTGAAAGTGTACCCTAGGGGGAGGTATATCAACTTCAAGGCACAGGCTTCTTTCAGACTCCAGTTCTAGAAAGGCTTTCAAACGCCCTCTTTTGTTCTTAAATGTATTCAAAGTGTTTAAGAAATACGCACTCCCTGGGTGAAATCCAGATAACATAGGTAGGATTTCTCACCCTACCTTATCCCTACTTGTTCCCCTCACCTAGATTAAGAACCAGGTCTGAGTAACACTGACACCACATCCACCCTCCAGGGCTCGCTGAAGGACCAAGCAAGGTCCCTTTGGCATGAGGAGGGCGCCCCCTGGAGGTCCTGGACTGGCAAGCACAGCAGGCCTCTAAGCCCCTTTCTCACCAGGGCAGCTTCTCCTTGGCCTAATCCCATGTACAGGTCACTGGGTTTGGAGGCATTTCCTTCAAGTCTTTGGCCACTTAGGTTTTGCTGCCCAAATATCTAGAAAGCAAATGGGTCTGGGGCTGGGACAATGGAGTGAGCTTCACAGGAAGCCTGGGTTTTTCTGACTCAGCGTCCCAGTTAGTTCTTTGTATCTGGGGCTGGGCATTAGGAATGACTCTTGGTTGTCATCTTGGACTTCTACTTAAGGTAGGAGCCCAGAATTCCTTCAGACTCTCCCCTAGTGTCTCTGGGTATCCCTGTCTATTCCCAACCTCTGCCATCATTACCCTCTGAGTAATAATGGTGCTGTCCTTGATATTTACCGGAAGTTACTATTAGAAGGCTAAAGGAAAGTCTTCTGTCCCTCACATCCTTCCGCTGCCTGCTGCACCAACACTTCAGAAAGCGATGTCAGTGGGAAGGCACGGGTGGACACGGGTGGACACGGGTGGACACGGGTGGGCGTGGCTTCAGTCCCAACTCCTCTGACTCATCAGCTGTGCTGCTGCAGGACAGCGCGAGAACCTCTGGGTGCCTCTTCCTTGTCTGCAAGACTGAAGTAATGGAAGCACCTTGGAAGTGGAACAGGCCCATGAGGTGGCTGTGTCCTCTATGAGGTTGTATGTGCCATGCTGAGAACAGGACTGGGGGAGGCTCAGCAGATGTTAGCATGGCTGTACCCCAAGCAAGCCGCTAGGCCCTCAGTGGTTCTCACCTTCCTAATGCAGTTCCTCATGCTGTGGTGACCCCCTTGACCATAAAAATGATTCTGTTGCTACTTCACAGCTGTAATTTTGATACTGTCATGAACTGTAATGTAAGTACCTGATATACATGATATCTGATATTTGCCCCCTGAGGGGTCACAACCCACAGGTTGAGAACCACTGAGCTGGGGGACTGGGAACAGGACGGAGGTCTCTGTGGCAGGTCAGTTAGATCATTGTTTACTGGCCTGGGTGACAGCCATTCATCACCCACCCTACCCCATCCATTCTTCCAGATACTTCCTTCTCAGTTTCCGTGTCTCCTTCTCCACTCATCACTGTGCGGAAGCCCTGCTTAGAGAGGGGGGGCGGCTGAGCTGAAATCTGAGTGAAGAGCAGGGACCATGCATGTGAGGTGGGTGGGGGCAGAGAATGACAAATTCAAGAGCAAGAAGCCTTCAGCAGAGGACAAAGGGAATTCAAAGTGGCCATTGAGGGACAGATCAGACAGGGTTTGAAGGCTATGGAGGAGAACGAGGTGTATCCTGGTCTTCACACTTGCTAGGTCAGCCCTCCCGCAGGAAGCTACAATAACCCTATGCAGGAATTCTCAACAGGGAATTACATGGTCTGAATAACCGTATATGTGGTGTGAATATAAATACACTACTATTTTTATATTTACTTTGTGTGCACATGTGTGTATTTGTAGGTCAGAGAACAACTTGTTGGAGCCATCCTGCCAGCCTTAAAATACATTTTAAATACTTAATTTTTAACCATTAACATGACAAGACCTCAGGGGCTGCAGAGACGGTACAGCGGCTACGAGCACTGGCTGCTCCCATAAGGAGGCTCACACCTGTTAGTAACTCTATTTATTTATTTATTTATTTATTTATTTATTATGTATACAACATTCTGCCTCCGTGTATGCCCGCACACCAGAAGAGGGCACCAGATCTCATTACAGATGGTTGTGAGTCACTATGTGGTTGCTGGGAATTGAACTCAGAACCTCTGGAAGAGCATCCAGTGCTCTTAACCTCTGAGTCATCTCTCCAGCCCCTGTTAGTAACTCTTGAGCACCACATATGCACATGGTGTATTGACATGCACTCATGCACATAAAATAAATACAGCTAAATCTTAAAACAACAAGTTCTCATTGCCGGTGTAAGAAATACAGCATAGCAAGCAAAGCCTTCTCTCTCCCATCTCCCCACTGCTGATGGCACTGTCTATTTTGCAGAAACTTTGTGGTGCATCTGTCTTTCTGTGAATCTGACACCACCGGTATGTCTAGTCAGCTTGCTCTGGAGCACTGGGGTTTCACTAGAATTTACGTGGATACTAGGAGTTGAGTCAGCGTGCCCATGGCTGGGCGCCTATGGCTTTACCCACTGAGCCATCTCCCAGCCCCATGGACACTGAATTTTGCTGAGAGCCTTAGCTGTTGAGCAGAGATGAATCAGCTTGGTCTTCCAGTTTGAGACGTGTAACACGCGCACGCAGGCTCTGAAGAGGGACTTTATCGCTTGTCTGCTTTAGAGGAACATTTGGCCACAGCCATGCACACTGCATGCTCACATTTCTGCAGGCTTCTCACATGGTAACCCACTTGAACAGAAGTGCCCATCGTTATGATCACGTGACTATGCCATGTGGCTGAGCCACAGCCGTCCTCTGATTGCCGGCTTTTACTTTTCCCCCATGCTCCTCAGGGTACTGTTGTGAGGCAATAAGAGCTCCCTCCATGCTCCTCAGGGTACTGTTGTGAGGC